GACCAACAGGAAGTCGGCTATATTGATTTTAATATGGATTTTGGGAAAAATATAGCTGTGAATTAATGCATACTCCTCAGAGGAAAATTACACTATACACACTAAACTTTGTCTACATGATGCCAAAACATTGAGGAACTTATATTACTTGTTCTTGTTCTATAAAATGATTTATAAGCATATCTATTACAAAGGAGATTTAAAGGCTCAGTTATCTTCCTAACAGAAAAAAAAATAAACAAACACAACACAGAGGGATACAGAACTCCGAAATATTTATTTCAAGGTGCAAAAAAAAAATGAAACTGTACAACTGTACACTTGAATTTTTTTCCCTATGAAATTGCAGAGGTTTATTTTTCATATTTGTATCAAGTGAACAGTTGTACAGTTTAACTTTTTCAATCTTGGAAAAAAAACATTTGTGTTCTGTATCCCTCTGTATTGTGTTTGTTTTGATAAATGTACATTTAAATAGTTTATTAATAATTTACTTACGCTTTCTAAATGATCTTATGAACTCCTAAATAACTGGTTTGTAAATAACATAATAATTTAGAAATGTTAAATTGATCATTAATAAAGTATGAAAATACAATGATTAAACACTATAGATATGCTCAAGAACAAAACATGTATAGCTGTATTTATAAACTGCTTACTAATGCCTATTAATTTTGGAACAATGCTTTATAAAGGATGAATTGACTATTTACTAATGCTTAGCAAATGATTCATAGTGTGCAGTTACTATAAAGTGTTAACAATTTTTTTTAATCAGGGTACACACGATTACGGAGTGCTTGATTTGATGCAGACTTGACAGAGTGTCAGTTCTGCACCTGATCATGTCTGAATGAGCATGGAAGGTAAAATAATAATCACAACTATTACATAATTTTAATTAAGTATCCCAAGCCCATGCCAGTAAAAAAATAAAAATAAAAAATACAGCCCTAAATAGCGCAATTACCATGTCCCAAATATAAAAATGTAATTTCCATCCCTAAAATAAATATTTTACAGTCACTGTTATGCACATTTATCATAAACACAGCTCAAATGCTTCCTACTAGTGTGGCCCAAAACATTTAGCACAGTTTTATTACAGGTAGAATGCAAAATGTTTCAGTACAAGCATTTCAACCAAATGTAATTTATGCAATATTTCAAACCTTTAACCCACTGGGGAAAATCAGCCCATGGCAACAGTTTAAAAGCAGCCCAATTTCATGGAAAATAACAACAACCCTACATCCAACACCTAAATAAAATAAATTAATTAATTAAAATATTTCACAAATGCTTATAGATCAATAAAATCGTTAAAAATGCTTATACACTGCGTGCACGTTGAAAACAATTATTAGGCATGTTGATATTCTGATGATATTTTTTTTTCAAGCACATTTTACCATTTCCAAACCACATCAATCTTAATAACTACTATTCATTTTGTATTTAATCATTTATGAGTGATATATAATTGTCCATGACGGCTGGAAGTGAAAAACTCCTTATATTTAGGTGTGCAGAATTATTAGGTATGTTTTCTTTTACTGATAAAATGAGCCAAAAAAAGAGGTTTATCTCAGACTGAAAAGTCAAAAATTATTAAATCCCCATGAGAAATATTCAAAACTAATGCAATACAGAAATTGCAAAGTTAAGACATGACCATTGGACAGCAAAATGCTCACTGGGTCAGCGGGGTCAGAAAAAAAAAAACAGGTGGAGAAGAAAAGACAAACGTTAACTGCAAAATAATTAAGAATTAATGTGAAGAATTAGGTGTGAAACCATCAGGAAGCATTTAGTCTCCAGCGCCACTATTTTCCAGAACTGCAACCTACCTGGAGTCTCCAGAAGTACAAGGTGTCAGGTTCTCAGAGACTTTG